ATTGATAACTGTCTGATTTACATTTTAGGAAAAATTGAGTTAAAAATAGTTAATATTAAATTAAATTAAATTAATTAATACGAATCTACGGTAATTGAGCTTTATGGTTTAGCACACAATCGCAGTTTCATCAATCTAATATAGTTAAGTACTTACATAAATCCCATTTTCTTGTTAGTGAAACAGGTGGGTGTTGACCTTCTTCATAACAATACTCTTCTTCGCTAGAGAAACCACTGGCTTCATCTTCTAGATGTTCATCGACATAATAAGTCCTTGACGGTACACAAGGATTATGGAAAGACTCAGCTAATGCATTCATAGTTGATTTCGACAACTTTACAAAGCAATTACTATTGCATATCTACAAACCAGTAATTCTTTTATTATATGAAAAGATCATTTATCACTTTTGTAGAGAAGACTACATTAGGCATTTGATATACTTTAAGTGTAATTATTTTGCCAGTTTTCGATTTGAAAGTTAGTTTTACTCACAATCATGACTATAGACAGACAATATAATTGTTAATAACTACAATCGTCTATAACTGAAGATGACACTGAGAATTGAAATGCGTTTTAGGTTTTTAAATGTTTTTACACAGAATTTCGAGTTTTACTGTTTTACGCTACATGTACTTATAATCATTACTAAATGGTAACGGAGGTGTTAAAAAAATTTCTTCTTCGTTATATAATAAAGAAAGTACGTTACAATAGTTACGTATTATATATACGTATTTCCTTCATAAAGCCAATAAGATTTCGTTAATCAACACGTATACGAAAAGTAAGTATAGTAAACGAATCCCGCAACTACATGAGGGTTGTATGGTATGATAGCTTTCCATCCCCACCCATCAAGACAGTTTTGATTTTCAGTTGTAGGGGTTTGTTTAAGAGATAGGGGGTTAAATGACTATTGCCCCAAAGGGCTCCATGTAAAGAGTTAGTAAAGGTGTTAATTGAGTTCCAGCGTCTGGTCAAAACACTACAGAATGTCACAACTTTTTCTTAAATGTCCTACATTAGCTATGCAACGGAAGTGTCACAGCGGAAACAGAAGTAACTAGTAAATTTTTGCGGAAGCGGATGCGGAAGTGTAATGATTTTAAATGAATCTTTTATGTAGTGGTCGTGCGCCGTTTTCGTGAATAATTTGTTATAAATTTTGCATTTAGTACTTGCATCATAATATCAACAAAATAATCTTAAACGGAACTTGTTTTTGACTTCAAAATTGCACCTTTAACTTAAAATTTATACCACTGAGCATACACTATACAAAATAAATTAGTATTTTCGAAATGAAATTATTAGGAGAACTGACTAAGGTAGGGGGCTTAAAGTCCTAGACGTTTTTAGATTAAAGTAGGAAACTAATAAGAGAATAAAATATGGACAACATTAACATACGAAATATTGTTACTAACAAAATTTTGCAGGCTATAACGTTGCATTGACTTCATAAACATAAACGGTTAATAATACGTTCACAATGATACAGAGGGGTCGTTGACAGTTGGCGCAGGACCAATAAAATTTCATAAGTTTTCGCGGATTACGTTGACAGTGAAAAAGAATTCTGGACTTGCATTGCATTTTGGCGAAACTCCTCTATTTCAGCTTCTCTGTTAATATTAGAAGAGCCTCGAAAATGTTCCGTGTACCAAACATCGGAAACAGAAAACCTGACAATGCAAACCCAGTATAATTGTAAGTGTGGTTTTTACCTGACATCTACTAAAAATATCATCCTTTGTTACTTCTATTTTGTAATAATCCAAAATTTCTCTTAACTGTTCATCGATATCGTCAGAAATAATTTTTAAACAATAACCTTGAGGAACATAACCGACCAGCTAAAATAATTTAATAGTGTTACAAAGTTATTGCAATAACAAAAATTATCTTACCATGTTAAACGTTTGGCCTTTTGTTACAATGTATCTCTTTTCGGTTTGAGCAATTTTTACACAAACTGTGTGGTCATCGTGGTTTTCTAGGATAGCTGTATCTATTCCGCATCTTCGTAACGACTTTCCTAAACCTTGTAGCATTGTATCACAGACTATTTTGACTGTCTGGGGAGACACAGACTCATTATGAGGACTAGGAGGCTGCTGAATCACTTGTTTTTCAACCAATTTCTGCAGCGAGAAGTTTCGTGTATTAGCATGAAGTAGATAAAAAAAATCATTTTGTTTCAGTAGCTTTTAAAAAGATATAAGTACTTATTAGATTTTTCACTTTTTTTTTTAAATAAATCTACACTTATTTTGACAGAAGATATTGAAACACTGTTTAAGCTTATTTAACATGCTCTTTCACTATATTAATCAGAATAAAATAGCAAACTATTTTAAAAACCTTTATGAATTATAAAACTAAGTTATTTTGGTTTTGACTTAATGTTTGGTCGTTATTTTCAGTTTTCAGATGTTCGAGTAATAGTGTGTATGATAGAAATATTACTTGAAATTCAAAGAAAATTACCTTGGTTAAGCTTTTCTTTGGCTTCTTCTTCATTTCTTTCGCAGATGACATAATTTGGAAACATATCTCATGAAAAGGATAACCTACACTTTCACAACATTTTTTCATGACATCGTAAATTTCAATTAAGCAATGTGCATCTAATGCAGCATATGTAAGTTGATTTTTTCTTAAAGGTCGATTCTCCCAATTAGAAAACTGGTCAGATTTATCCAATGGTTTCCCTAGACACATCTGTACCAAAGTGGATAAACTTGGACCGCCTCCTTCAACTAGTAAGTAATCATATTAAGGAACAAAATACCATTTATTACCATAAATTAACTATTTTTATATTTATGTTAATATATAATATAAGAATATACAATTTTCTTTTAAATAAATAAATTAGTAAATAAAANTCATAAGGAAATTTGAACTCAGAATTCTTTTCAATATGTTTCCAGAGAGACATCAAATCGAGAAAACCAATTTTATTATGTATAGTAGTTAAATATGGAAGTGAATGTTTAATTATTGCCAAATCAGCAGAAAAACCAAACCCTGCGTAAATAGAGATTTTATATGAATGACTAAATTTTATATAAATAGACATCTGAATAAGTTCCGAGAGATATGACTCCTCTAGAAGAATTTTATTATACTGAAACTTACCTAACTTTAAGATATCACAGTTATTGAACACAATTTCGCCGAATTCTTGCCATAAATGAGACAATCGCGAACCAAGTTTGATAATATCTAAAATAAAAACGGCGTCTCGCGTTGCAACCTGCATTACCGATAATTCGTTTAAATGCACTCCAAAACTGGGCTTCCATTCACAATCTACCCCAACTAAATTTACATCCTGTGAATGTAAAAGGAGAAACTTTTTATTTAAATCTGATAAGGGTGATTTCTACATATTTGTGGTAGTACTAATTATACCTTAAGACCATGATCCAAGAACTTTTCAAAAGCTGTAGGAGTATCTACTAAATGTATACAGCTTGATGACAACTTTAATTCATGATATTGGGTGGCAGGCTTGTTTTGAGGCCAATCATCCCAACATTCATCTTCTTGATTTAGTAATTGATGTGTTATATGTCTTCAAAATAAATAAAATACTAATAAGACAAAATTTTCGGGCTGAGCTGAATATTTTAAAAAGAAAAAGTTAGAAGTGTTTGAAATGTGATGTAAGAAAAAGTTAGAAATGAGATTTTGGAGAAAATAACTAAACAGAGGGCGCTATAGAAGTCAATATTTAAAAGGAGGGATAATATTGTAAGACACCGTTTAATATAGCATGAGTAATGATACTACAGCTTTAGGGAAATGCGAAGATTAGCCCAGGAGAGGAAGACTGGAGATGGGTGTCCAATTAGTCTTCAAACTAACATTCTTGTGATGGAAAATTTTCAGAATTTAAAATAAAAAAGTGATGATGATGGCCTATTGTATAATACATTTATGACCAAATCGTAATCAGATTTAAGATAAGTTTTTATATGGATTTACTGTAAAGGTATGTTCCTGTTAATTTTATGAAATCTTCTTTATGTGAATTTAACTGACATTTCACTGGTATTGTTTTAAATTAACAAGAACTAACTTTCATTAAATAGGAGTTAGAGTTAAGAAGGCAACCTTTCAATAATTTCGCAACTTATATTCTATTAAAATTTACCGTTCTGCATTTGGATCATCTTGATACAGCCGCACTGACTGAGGCCAATACGAACGATCGACTTTAAAATAGTGTGCCCAACGCAAAGCTTCCGATACATCACCATAAAGTGACACTTGTATTACCAGCTCTTGCTGTAAAGTTTCGTCATCTTTAACTGCCTCATGTACCATTTCCTTCCAACTTTCGTCACCTGTTAATAAACATTAGTTAAATGTTAACTTAAAACTGAAGTGTTTTTACTTACTAAAGCTGCCCTCTACATATCGCTTGTGAAGTAAAAATTGTAAAGCACCTTTATTTCGTTTTTGAATTAAATGTGGTGCACATTCCATCGGAATTTTGAACATTTTTAAAAGGCGGGCAATAAGCTTCCTCCATGGTTTATAATGAAGCTTTACCATTTTTACTTCGGGAATTTGTAATTTTCTGTAAAATATGAGACAGCAATTAATATACTAAAAAATTTCAAAGTTTTACATGGTAATGGAGTAATGTGATTTATAGGGTCTTTTAGCAACAGTACATATAAATATACTATAATACAATTTAAAATAAGAAAATATTTAATGTAATTAAATTAAACAAGAAGAAATAAGCTTTAACGGCCAGAATTCATGGTAGAATTATAATTCGAGTTGTAGAGTTGTGATCTAAATGAATTTTCGGCTATTGGGTCATTTTTCAAAAGTTACAGAAGTGTATGTACTTGAAAAAAAAATTAAACTAGTGATTTTGTCTACTGTCAAGAAGTTATCAATGATCTGTAAACATTTAAAGACAAAGAAAGAACACGTTGCAAAATTTTTTTATAATGAACTGACTGACATACATATTGGTCTTTGAATGAAACATTCCGTATGTAGTCATGCGGTGATTCTCAAAGTTGTGGTTACAATCCCCGAAAGAAGAAATGATTTCAGTTATTAATTACAAAAAACTACACGTCCGAAAAAATTTCAAATTTGCTTAATAACACTTGGAAATTACGTAGTAGTTAGTTCTTTTTAATAATATTAACAAATAACATACAAAACGATTTCTATGATATATAGTTTTTCTTATTTAACTTACAAAATAACAGGCTCTAAAGCTGTCCTAACATTAGAGGAACTACCAAGAATTGCATCTAAATATGAAATCAATTCAATTTGATGCTTAGGACTTCTACTTAAAAATTCATCAACAACAACCAATTTGTCCTGAAGAACCAATGGCACTAAAAAATCTTCAACTGTAAATTCGTTTTGCAATCCTAAAAGTAGTGCACATTGACTGGCCTAAAAATATAAAAATTTTATATACTCTATTAAATCATATATCTAATTTGACATACTTCTTTGTACTGTTTCTCTGCAATCATATGTCTTAGGTCATCCAAAAAATTATGCGAATCATTTACTATTTCATATATTTGAATAACAAGTTTGGTTAATCCCACATTGTGCTGCCTCTTAATTACATCAAAAGCAAAATATTTTAATTCCAAAGTTAAAAGATTAATTATATTTTCTCTATTTAGTAAACACCATTCCTGAAATTCTTCCATTATTAAATATGCCATTGATTTAGGCTTGGCATCTCTAAAGTCTAAGCAATTGTAACAAAGAACTATAGCATGTTCGTATGGATTACCACAACTTTCAAAAAATTTAAAGAGCATATCTTGCATGAGAGGCCCTTTCTTAACTAAAACAAATAGTGTATTTTCAAGTAAATATCGTAACTTGAAATTTATACAAAATCACATACATTTTGCCCAGTATATTCTCAATTGTTGGAACCAAGTATGAATACCTGAATCCATATCTACAGAGAAAGTGGTTTGTTTCATAATAATACTGCTGCTGCTACTTGGTTGTACTTTTAAAATATTGTGTTGTACTGACATACTACTCTGCTTATTGTTACTACTTTGTACTTTTGCTGCATTATGAAATGAACAAGAACTGTTGTTGAACGTCATTTTATTTTGACTAATGTTTTTTCTATTTGCAACTCCTCGACCCCTGCCCCTGGTATAAGACATCCTAAAAATTATTAAATTATTTTTCCATTTTTTTTTGTAAAATTTAGGGAATTATAGATATAACTACATAATTTAAATGAAAAATGAAATATTTTTGTAGGTAAGTCATAAACGTCAAAAAAATGGTTAGAATGTTGGAATGAGAATTTGACAAGTAGTTTATGTATTTATTATTCTAAGGCAGGATTAAAGAAAATTGGTAAATATAATTCCCAATTAATTTGTAATACTTACATGGTATTACCAACAGCAACTATTGGCAAAAATTTATAACTTCACTTGAAAATCAAATTTTGTAAATCTCCGAAGCACTTCATGGAAACTGAGGTTATGTTGAACTAGTTTTCATGTTTTAAAATAGCTCTTCTTTTTCTTTCACAAGAGTGTGGCCTCTGAACATCATATAAATATTTTATTTTTTATTTGCAGTAGTATACTTTATTCTACTGAATGTAATAATTTTGTAATAATTTGACATTCCGTGTTTTTGCATACAAAAGTATCGATATTAATAACGCAGGATAATGGTAATTGATATATTACAATTTGCCTCGTTATTTATAAGGTTAGGTTGGGTTGTGGTGCCCTGATTTTTGTTTATTAATTGTTTCCTAATTTTGGAACTATACTTCTTAACCTACTTTAAAGTATTTTGATTTGCTACTAATTTATCATATTTATCATTATTGGTGTTTTGTAGAAAATGCATTTAACTTTTAAAGTTAGGCTTAATATATACAAAAAAGTAAAGAAAGCTACAAATGCTTCACTCCCTGATTAATTTTTATTTACATAATTTGGTAGTTATAGGGCAATCTAAACTCCCTTCATGATGTATGCTTCCAACAGTACATTGCTGCTAAATAGGTTGACTATTAAACAAATACAACAAACAAGAAATTAGGAAAAATAAACAAATTAGAAAAAATAATGTGACATATACTCATATACGCGAAGAAGCGTCATAAATGGCCTTTAGTGAATTGCCGAGATTACGCTACTATAACAAAGAAGATCAGAATTCTTTAGAATCAACACTTAGGAATAGACTCTCTTTAGAGAATTTATTGTCTTGTTTGTACCTATGGTGTATTGTCCCAAAATCAACCCCATCATGAAACCTGACCCTGGTAAAGACAATAGTCCCCAAAAAGAGTAAATATAGTAGTAACAACTATATACATGACTTGCCTAATGTATGGTGTGAGCGCTTAGTGATGTCTTTTGGATTATACAATACACCTGCTGCGTTTCGAAGGAATGATGCACACTATAAAATAAGGACTGATGGACTAAACTAAAAGAAAATTTGTTTAGTTTACTTAAATAACACTATCATATTGGAAAAAACCTTCGAGGATAATTCCGAAACGTGACTGAAGTCTTTAAAAGAATTGAAGCCAAGTTCCATAAAATGTATTCTGTTTTGAGAGAAATGAAGTATTTATGGTACGTTATAACACCGGAGCGAATGAACATCAACCCTGACAAAACGGATGCCGTACGAAGTTGGTCCACAATAAAAGAATAGTGTGAACTTAGAAGCTTTCTGTGATTTTCCTCGTATTATCGAAAATTGATTGGAGGATTTACCATTATAGCCCAATCACTATAAACTTACAGAAAATGGCGTTTTATCCCAATGGACAACTAAATGCCAAACGGTATTTTAAAGCTTGATGGTTACTTTCTCTGGCACTTCAATCTTGACATACTTACAGTATAGCGAGCCCTTCATAGTTGTCGCTAACTTCAAGACGGAAAGGAAAGGTCATCGGGTACTAAAGTAAAACACGCTTGAAATAAGAAGGAAGGACGAAGATGTTGACCCAATAATGAAATGGAAAAAATCCAGAACCTCAAGGCCACCATGGTGTGAGCCACATAAATGAGACACCAAGAGATTAAGGGACTCAGTGGAGTTGTTGCTGTTACCTTACCTCTTAGACCACTGCATTTTAAATAAAATGTGAGAAAGTCCGGAAACGGGAAACAAGTTCCAGATTATACTTCCGAAGAACAAAGTTTCAGAAGTCCATGCCAAAGGACATTTCGGCTACACTAAGACTTCAGAGAAGGCATGAGAACGATTTTATTGGCTATGAATTAGGAACGATGTGGAAGACTGGTGAAAGAAGTTTTCGACATGCGCTGCCAAGGACCGAAGACGAGAAGTCGTAGACTAATGCAGCAGTACAACATGGAAGCGCCTTATGAGATTATTGCGGTTGACGATAACCGAAACATCTTGATCATTACAGATTAGTTTAGTAAGTGGCGTGATTCTAAATCAGTAAGCATACACCCTTGCTGAAAAGATTGTCAATAGCTGAATTAATTGCTATGGATTACCAGTGGAATGGCATTCCGACAGGCAGGAACTTCGAGTCGGCTTTGTTCAAGAAAGTCATTAAACTAAAGGGTATCACCAAAACAAGGACTGTGTCCTTACATTCAGGGGCCGAAAGGATAGTTAACGACTAAGCAAACTAACGACCCTCAAACTGACTGGGACCGCCACATACGCCTATTTCTCTTGGCTTGTAGGTCCACCATCCATAATCCAAAGAACATCAATCAGCATTTATTCAGGTGTTATTTTAAGCTGTCAACGGATATGATGCTTAGTCGACCTGAAGATTCTCCTATGTCTACAGACCAACCACAAGAACAACTAGAAGTCATCTAGGCGATTAGGAACTGACCATATTAAGGTCACATCCGATCGACGAGCCAGCTGTGCTGCTTTCAGTGAAGGTGATAAAGTGTGACTATAAAGTTCATGAAAGGGACGTTTCTTGAAACAAGCTTGAAATAATCCTTGCACCCTTAGTCGCCGTATCAACGGCATTGTCCATCAAATTCAGAAGGGACTTCGGCCGAAAATAGAGGTCGCCTTTCTTAACCGCTTTGCCCTAATCGCAGGCGACGTTGATGATTGGGATGACCAGTGTTAGGAGTGCCATGTGTAGACAACCCATTATATACAGTATTGTCACGCGGTATTTTGTTACTTTGGGTTTTTTATTAATTGTTTATTTTAATTACCTGATTATAATGCATTTTGATTATTTTGTTGTGACTGGGCGTAAGGCAGAGCCTGGCAAACTTTAACTACCTGAGGTTAGTATGAGTCACTCCATACCCTTTAATGAGTACGAGAGAGTAAGCAGTATTGACTCATATTGCTTTCTCTTTTTCTTCTCCCTTCCACTTCCATATCAAGCCCTTTCATCCCGCAGACGAGCGAAGCCTCCCTCACAACTTAAATAATACCTACGAAAATTTTCGTTACTACGTTTGTAAAACTATTGGGTTTGGCTATGGAAGAGGGGACTCACCTACGGAATGGAAGGAGTAAGAAAAGGAAAGAATCATCTCACTCGCACTCGCAGGATCAATGAGGAGCTTCTTGGCTATACCTGAGGAGCACTCGGGAGTCAAAAGAGTCGAGTTTGCCCGGCTCTGGCGTAAGGTACTAAAATGATAAGAAACGCGAGATTGGAAAACAATAACAATATGGAATTATATAGATAATTAAATAGAAACGTTTACAAAAAGGATCTTTCTTCCAAAGTAAATCAACGCACCGTAAAAGTAAAAGAATTGTAATCATCTGGACCAGGAGGTAGTGCCACCAACACTTAGGGTTTCCCACTGGTTATGCTCGTAAGGGTAGAGCCTTTTTCTTAACGCGTTCCCGAGTCGACTGCCCGCGATTAGACCATTGATCCCTGTTCACGCGCCAAACTTTCTGACGAGCTATTGAATTATTTTATACATAGTTCAACATGGGTCATTTTCTGGTTCTTGAAGTTTCTTTGGTTTAGCTGACTTAACGAAAAACCGACGTAGTCTTTTTTGATGACTTCGTGAAGTTCCATAATTTTCATAATTAACTAGAACTATCGAACTTACGTCAATTTCCGCTTGTACATAGATAATTCTTTTCGATTACTGTTTCGTTGCTATGGAATGCCAAATACGCGTATTTTGCAAGCAAATGAGCTCGATATCTGTTTTATCAATTTCGAAAGAATTGCAACGTTATAATATGAAATATTTAATTAATTTTGAAATATGTTTTAGTCTAAATGATTTTTTGAATTTCCTTAAAACTTCACTACGTAACAGTATGTTGCCGAGATTAGGCTAGTGCAGGGGTCGGCAAACTTTTAAGATGGATGAGCCATTCACAATAAAAATATTGGTTTCGTGAATTTCAAAGAGCCACGAATTTTTAATTCGGCTGTTATATTTTATTTCAAATTTGTATCGAATAAAGAAGACTTTGAATTTTTCTAGAAAGTTTTACTAAGTCCGGCACATAGCTAGTAGTATTTTTTAGTTAAGACTTGACTTTCTTTGATTAGTTCTTGTGAAATAACCATCAGTGTTAATAGAAGCACTGTTTCAATCTCGATGATTCTTTAAGGTTTGGAAATGTAACAATGGGTTCATCACTGTATTTTCCGCCAAAAAAAGCAATTTATTTTCAAAACCAACTACTTTTTCCAGTAATGAAAATGCACTATTTCCTATTCCTTGAAGCTTTAGATTTAGTTCGTTTAGATGCATTGTAACGTGAGTCATAAAATGCAAGTCTCTCGGTTTAGATATACCTATATGCGTTCGCTGTCTGTATGTCCGTTCTGCGTTAGCTTTTAATTTTCTAAAGGAAGTTGAAGAGCCACAATTACCTCTTGATAGAGCCGCATGCAGCTCGTGAGCCGTGGTTTGTCGACCCCTGGGCTAGTGCAATAAAAGAAGCCAGTATTCTGTGGAATCTAATGAACTTTGGAATGGAATGCGTTTTAGAAAATACCACAAATGGCTCGGTAAACGCCATCTGTAGTACAATGCTATATTTTAGGATTACGTATGCTCTTCGAATTATTTTATTCTGGAATGGAATATTTCTAGAACATTTAGTCGTTATAAACAGTTGCCGTAGAAGAACTCATTACTGAGGAAATACTTACAAGCCCAGTAATGATGCAAAACAGCCTACAAAAAAAGCTCTCATCCATCTCGATATAATATTAGCAGATGCTTGGAACCCGGAGAATTTCAGAAAACCTTGTAACTACCATGGATGAGGCAACCTGTATGGTAATAGTAGAAAACAAGTGAAATGTGCATGAAGAATTTCATTTATCTCAATTATGCAGCTAGTTAATCAACGAATTTTGGACCGTTTGAAAACTGCGTTACGAAGAATCTTCAGTGAAGATCAATTAAAGAAGGTGTTAGAAGGAATAATGGGCCAGCGGTCAAACGTAGCGATCACTACAGATTTAAAATTCACATTTGTTTAATCATTTCATGCTTATAAGAACATACATAGTACAGGTTTTTCTTAATCAACATACTGAAATATGGAATATAAAAGATGAGGTTGCGATTCAGTATACTTGACGATGTTTTGCAATTGCTCAAACACAAAGAAGGTTCAGTAAATAAACAAGATTGATAATGTGTAATGTCGTACGATGAAATGGCTATTTTTAGTACATTAGATTATGGAAAAGTAGCGGTACAATCTTTGGAAACGTCATGTTGGACAACAATGACAGCAATCTAGGATCAAGATTGTTTTTAGTCGTACATCGTGGAATAAAGGACTTTTGGAAACGCAACGCCTAAAATAGAATTTTATTCGGAAATTACTAGCAATTTCATTCAGCAATGCATAATATCAGTCGAAAAATTGGTCCATATACCACTCGTTCGTCTTGAGATCTTGATAACAGGAATCGGCCATTGTGCTCCTCTTTAGGGATTTCAGTGCAGAAACATAGTTATGGAAATAATATTCACATCATTAAAAGGGCCACGACATTTCATTCATTTATATAGTCTCTCTATTATAAGCTGTTTTTGTTTTAAATATTAATCCCTTTTCCTGCATAATAGCGGAGAGGAGAGTTAACAAAAAAATATCCCACAGTTCCTTACGTGGGAGGAGAGGGTTTAAAAATTTGTCAAAATATTGCGCCGTCTATTTCATCATCTTTTGAAAGACGGTACACATACAACAAGGTCCATTGTTGGAGCATACGTAATCCTAAAATGTAGCATCGTGCTACAGATGGCGTTTACCGCGCCATTTGAGGTATTTTCTATAATCCAGGTTTAGTAAAAGGTAAATGAATAAAATTGAACTAAATTTGGGTTTTTGTTGCATTTATTTGCATGTTTGCATATTAATTATCACTTATTTATGTTATGTATATATACATTACGCAATAGCACTAAAAAGCAACTCACAGAGTGTCACAACTAAGTATGGTACAATAAAGATCATTTGTACATTCATTTTAATAGACGAGCAAATCACCATTTGAATTATTAATAGAAAAATATTCTAATAACGATAACCACCAAACGACGTCCTTCCGGATGGGGCAGAGAACGTTTGGGAAGGTCTGTATTGGCCGTCGTCTCCGCCATTTCCTCCGAAGTCACCTGCATTTCCACCTGAAGCACGGTTGAATTCTAGGGATCGAAGAATGGCTTCTGGAATTGGTGGTGGAGTAGGAAGATGAGCACCAGATGGATGAAATCCATTTTCATCAGCAGTGTAAGTTAAACTGATTCTTTGTCCATCAGGAGCGGTATAAGAAAAGGATCCATCTGCTACTGTTGCTCCACCTGTAATTAAACAATGCCATTTACATATGGTAGTCTGAACTGACCCTGGTTAACGTTCTTTTTTTACATAATTATTTATTTTTTTTTTCATTTGGTTGTACTTTTCTATTATTTACATTTTATCATATATTTCTTGAACACAACAGGGTAACTCAAACATTTTTTAAAACAGCCTGGTTGAAATATACGAATATGCCCTAATTTAGTCTAAGAATTTCCACAATTCTTCCGGTCCAGTTTAGACTAGAGCATTCTACTTGAGAAAAATCCCAGATATTCGAGAACATTCTACTTGAGGATCACCATTTCAGTAGTTATATTCTTTTTTATTCTAAACGAGTGTTAAGACACTTTAAACTTTATATGATACAGTTTTTACAACTCTTTGGTCAAAATATTGATATGTATGTAAAAAGGTTTTCCATATTATCAAAAGACATGACCATCACTCATAGATAATATGGTTTTCGAAGATTTCAGAATGTTCTTGATTCTTTCGGTTTAGTTCACTCAAGAACATTCTACCTGAGGACAATTCTAGACATTCGAGAATATTCTGGTCGAAGATAACGCTAGAAAAATTCAAGAGCATTCAAGTGCATTCACACTCCTTCTAAACTGGTGTTTGGTTGTCGGTGGTCGACTCACAAAGTTAGACACCCATCAAACTGGAAAAAATCCGAACACTATAAGAGATAGAACACTTTTAACCATCATATCTCAACCAGGGATGTTGCGGAGTTTCGACTCCGGTTCCGTTAAGTCGGAACTTCCGATTATTATTACACCTTCATTCCGACTTCGCCTCCGACACTTTTAAATCGAAGGTTTTAATCGGAGGTCGAAGCATAACAGCGGCGGCGCGGCGGCCTGTGTCGACTGTTATGAACAAGTTCATAGTATGAACTTCATACATGTCGCGCGGGGAATCCCCCCGACTCCCAATACGTGCACTGAGCACTCTATCGTCAATTATTTTTTCATTGTTTGTGTTTTATTTTATAATTGAAAATTGAAATGAAAAAAATTTGACTAAATAATGTTTTATTTGTTCTTAAATAAAAATTCTCTCTCATGCCACCACTTTTGACCCTGCCTCCGACTCCGATTCCGACTCCGATAAAGCAAATTTAAAAACTCCGACTCCGCCTTCGGTTCCGATAAAACTACCTCCGTTACATCCCTGATTTCAACACCACCACAGCTACCGGTAGTAACCTCTATTTTTATTTATATATGTATTGATTAAACAAGCGTGTTATTAAATAAAATATGTATGCAATTGAAAAAAGTAAGGACTTGCCTTGAAAGGTTTGCAGCTAATAGATGTGTATTATTTGCAGCAATTAGATGCGTTTAAATATTTTTAATGTATCCAGTGATGCAAGTTAGAAATAAATGCATAGACGCAAGGCTTCAATCACTTTCAATTTTTATTTTTAAGAAACAATTACTTATGAATATGGACGTTCTAGTTATGCAATATGCTGCTTTCACATTAACCTATATTACTTGCTATTTATTTCGAAAGCTTACAGAGAAGGCGATGAATAAATCATCTTAAAAGTAGGATCACAACTTACAAAAAATCATTGCAATGAGATCATCTCTAAGTTAAGAAACTGAAAAATTACCTAAAGATTTCTTAACCGATCTTCTTACGGTAATTAAATTAAATTTACAGAGTGATTTTCGCTGAATTGTCTAAAAACTTTTCAAGAGAAAGGAAATGAAAATATTTTGAAATACTCAACACGACCTTAATGATAAGAATGTCTAAATAAAAGGTACTATCTTCTGCAAATATGCAATGCAATTTGATTGAACGAAGAATGGCAACAGAACCGAATGAAATATATTTATATTGACATTATCTAACTTGAGGACACAATATTTAAAGTAACCGTGAAACTATTCCTTACCTATTATAGGTCAGATTATATGTATAAAACTCAGAATATATGTTTAAATTAGTTACTAGGAATTATTAGGTATTATCAATTTTACAAATATTACTTTGATCTAAACAAATTAGTTGAAATAAATGTTGAAAGTAGTTAAATACTATTCATAATATTTTTATTATTTATTTATATTTTCCAAAGTGTTAAATATGTAGTACCTACAATATTCTGCTAGTCATTAATTTATTAAAAAAAAGTCTAAAACAGTGTTGTAAAACTGAAAATAAATCTGTTTTTATGTGTTACTGCTTATTCAATCTATTACTTTTAAAAAATGTCTTCAGAAACATAAAATTTTATATTTCAAGCTTTTTCCAAACAATGGAATGCAAGAATATATTTTTATGAAATAAAATGATCATTTGAATTAGTTTATAGACTAATTAGGTTTTACCTGATACTCCGCTCGCGTTGATGTCCTAAATACGTGTCAAAGATCATCGACGATCACATAAAACAAATATTTCTATTTCTCGAGATCTCGGGAAGAGTACGTTTTTCTTTTGATAAAAGGTACCCTATGTCCTTTTATTCTAAAAAAAACTAACAAAAAGAAATAGGCGAGATAGGTTGGTAGGACATGAAGGTCTAGTCAGAGACATATTAGAGGCAGAAACAGGAGTTAGGAGGAGTAGAGGTAGACCTAGATTAGATTACTGTTCACAAATAGTTAAGGATGTGGGATGTTCTAGTTTCAGGGAAATGCGAAGATTAGCTCAGGATAGGAAAGATTGGAGGTGCGTGTCCAACCGAGTTTAAGACTGACGATCTTATGATGATGATGATGATGACGACTGTTTTTGCAGTGCATGCAATCATTAATGAAAAATACGAGGTGCTATAGGGCAATTCTAAAAATCTTTTTCATATAAGTCATTTATCCACATAAATAGTTACGTAAGTAATATAAATCCAATAAATGCAATACCGGCATTTGGTAAATGTACCGACATTTTGGTAAACGTGTCTTATTTGTATAAAAAAAAACCAAGAAGGCTTTTTAGTGTATCAAAATTTACTCAACGGCTATAAAATGTTTAATATATTTGTTAAGTTAAGAGAGAAGTTAATTCAATAAATAGTTCGCTTATACAAAGTCGTCACTTTCAAAATAGTTGTGTAGGTGTATTATGGTTAATTGCAGCTATCGAGCAGATGCTTCAAGGAGATTAATAAAAAGACGGCCGTTTTGCTTTCTCAAAATCGAAAGTGCCTATTTCGCCGATGCTCTAAAAGTTATTTCGTTGCGGACCTTTTAAGGATGTATTTATGAAATGGAATTTGAATACAATCGGGGACGAAGAAAAGTATACATACATATACACGTACCCAGCTTGGGTATTTATAAATTACACTTGTTTTAATATGAAGTTAATGCATAAAGAAGTGAATTTATAAAAATAATTTAAACAGAGGGTTGATTATAAAGATAATTGATTTTGGAAATAATAAAAAATAACCTAAAAAAACACATATTTCGTCACTTTAGAATACGGATTAAAATATGACAATAATAATACGGAAGTTCTATTTTGAAGATATTGGGAGTGAAAGAAATACGTATGGTATATAAATAAATGAAACAGATATACATATGTACAGTGTTGCTGTGTCTTTTGATTTCTTGCTTTGCTAACAGATGATATCTTAGTAATCAATGCGTTCCGCTCATGGTGAGTGGCTGAATGGTCAGCATAGTATGGAATATATTCTCGAAAATTCAAACTAGTTTATAATAAATTTTTAGGGGTTCCCGGGGTTGCTAATTAGGAATCTGATATCAGCAACATTGTAAAATTCAAAATGGCGATTTTTATTTCGTTTTCACATGTAAGTAATACTGCGAAAATATCTACGGAAAAGTTTTTTACTAACTTTAGTACCTGCTATTGAACGAAAACGACCAAACTACTGAAAAGAAAATTGAAAAATAAATAACCAAACGGAAGCGTCTGTAAAAAGAAATAGTGGATTGAAAATCTAAAAGGAAGTTGTAAAAATATTTACCTGTCTGGAAAGGTGTAGATCACAGTTAATTGATAAAATTGAAAATGTGAAAAAATCTAGTGAAACAAAAAATTGGATGAACTGATAAAGAAGCTGTTCTAAAAATAATGTGACTGTAATCTTTAAAAGAATCATTCCGTAAATACAAAAGACCATAGACTTAGAAGTGAAAATTCTTGAAAAATCCAGAAGTAGCAAAATTTATGATTAGCATAGAATTTCTATTAAGACTATATTGGGTCTGCATATTTATAATTTGACTTCTGTGTCAGATTTGTAATTAATAATCCCAAAAACTTCTCAAATTGATCATTAAGCTGCTTATAATTTAACAAGCACTTTTCGTCCAGATTTGAGAGTGGCGAAATTTGAAATAATTATGATCAATAATTACTGGAAACCTATCGTCTAAGAAGTCCTTTATAAAAAATGGTTTACTTATGTTGGCTACTTTAAAATTATCTGATTACGTAGGTGATTTCTACAGGATAGGCATTAGATCAGAAACAAAGTAGGTACTAAAGTCTAAAACATCTAAACAACTAATAACGACAAAAACTATAATTATATAACCATATTTATCTCAAGGGTAAGAAGTTAGAACTTTATCACTGTAAATATTCTAATTTTCAGTAATTTTCATTAGTCCAAGAATTGTTTTCTCATAAATAGCATATAATATAAGTTTTCTTACTCTCTTCTTAAATGTTTGTCTCAATATTTTTAAGCAGTGAACGTTTCTTTTAGTAATTAAGTAGACTAGCATTTGCAGCTTCCTGTAGTATTGGAATTCGGCGAATGAACCGAATGAATGATCCGAATTAGTTCAGGCAAGCTTTAATTAAATATAGCATACATAATTTTGAAGTTCTTATTACTATTCTTTGGTTACCTGTTCATTAATAGCACAATTTAGTAAAAGAATGAGAGAGACTTCATAACTCATTTCAAATACCTATAACTTTGGATTCATCTGTTTCAAATTAATGTACAAAATGTCACAGAAAGCGAATCCTTCATGAAATTCTATGATACATATTCCTATTTTCGCATCTCTGTATCGTATCAATTAATTAAAATTTGTGAATCGACCCTACGAGAAAACGTTCTGATTTATTATTTAAATTATTAGTTTTTAGCCAATTCATTAGAACTGGAAAATGAAAATCCCACAATCAGTGTATGGTTGCTAACGCGTTTTAAGCAATTTTCATTATGGTATGTAATTATCAATCAATAAATTTTATAGTGACAATATTTTATATGAATAATATTGATCAAATAATAATCACGACAAAGTAATACGAATAAGTAAATGTAATTTTATTAGACAATTCAAACTACTGATAATAATAAGAAAAATAAACATTTTGAATTTATGCGGTAAACGTGCTTTCTGGCTATGATGCCTATGGGCATAGGATTTCGCTATACATCCACTTAGGACAGCGTTTTTAAGCCTAAATTTTTAGTTCATGAAAATTCGCTTAAATTTCGATTGAAGCGTTTGGAACGATTAAAAAACTACAATTGGAATTTGGACCATTCAAGTTTGTTAAAAAGTAAAAATAATATCTTACCTTCCGGTAATCCACCAACGAATCGTCCTCTTTCTTCGGCGTTGATACCATTTCCAGTTTCGTAACTGTATTGATAGTTGCCGCTTCCGTCATTATCATTGGTGTATCGCAAGATGGGAATTTGAGGTCCGCTCCTAAAATCAGCTCCTGGGCCAAAGCCACCACCGAAACCACCACCAAACGGCCCAGCCCCAGCACCTGTTCCTGCTCCTGCAAAACTTCTCGCACCGCCAGCGGCTGGAGGAAGGTAGTTGGAGTCTAAACGTGCCGCAAGGGCCGCACTCAAAACAGACAGTGATACGATAATCTGGAAAGAAAAGTACTAAGTTTTATTGACCAAGACAGCGTTTCTTGTTTAACGCTATTTCGATAATGAAGCGATTTATAAATTGTGAAAAGATGATACAGTTTCCGTAACAACATTCTTGAAATTTAATGAAATATTTTTTGAGCAATTTCGAGAGAGATAGATATATATTTAATCAAATATTAATATTACAAGAGTAAATAACAATATACATATGTAGGTTTCACAGTATAGCTGCCATTATTTTAAATTTTTGAAGACATTATTGTTTTAATGTTTTTGTGCTTTCCGGACAATTATTAAGATTAAAAGCTCTTGAAGTTATAATGGTTGCAAGTGTTTTAATTATTAATGTATATTTATTAATACGATGAAGAAGTAGACCGTAATATTTATCAAGTAAACATCAGCAGCTAAAACATCCAAATAGTAAAATATAAACTAAATGATGATTAGTGAATAAAATTATTTTGACTTGATTTTTACCAATTTTGTATATCAGACAAAGTAACCATCTAGGAACTAGGAACAATACAAATATGCAATCGTATACCGTTACGTAATTTAAAGTATAAAAATTTAATAAAAATAATTATTCTAAAATTCAGAGATACCGTTTTTAAACTAGATCTTATTTGTTTTCGGCAATTTTGGTGGAGAATCAAATAAGGGATACATTTTCGGTTTGAGCCTTTTTTTTAAATTTGACATTCGATTAAATATTAATAAATAAAAACAAATATAAAACAAGTTACAAAAAAAAATTATTATTTTACAATGCAAAGAAGTAATATTACTTCTTCCACCACTGTGAAGCATTATGGCACAATAAATATTTTTTGTAACTTTTTTGTGTTTGTTTTTTGTTTAATTAAAAAATAGATGTAAGGCAATGTTAAAAACCGTATAAAGAGAAAGTGAAAATTAAGTAGAATAAATAATAATAATAGTTAATTAAGAATTTCATTTATGTCAGACTTAAAAAAGCTTATACTACAGCATCTATCTATAATTTAAAATAGGTCAGTAATAAAATTGTAATTGTAATAAAAAGTCCACAGAAAACGGAAGACCCAGGAGGAGGGTCATTTTGAAACACTATCACACTTTATACACACTAAAAAGTAGACACTATGAACTACAGATTAAATAAAAATAATAGTTAACAAACAAACCCTTACAAATTTCATGTTGACTTGTCGATGTTTTTCTCGGATACCAGGTAGATGTTGTGTGTGGATTTATGGTGTCCGAAATTATTTATACTGTATGCTACTGAACCCCTTCTACAGCGGGGCCATCTTCTTGGCATTTTGTACAGAAATATGCAATAATCCAGATCATCTCCGTTGTACGTCAAGGTTACAGAAAACGGTTAGTTTTCTATTGCTGACCTGCTGCGGTCGTTTAATAAGAGGAGCATCACGACGCGATTGTGGGTGTGTTTGAGTAAGGGCAGGTCCACTGGGGCCTCTCACCCTTCGAAGAAGACGTTCAAGCGATATACTTTCATTTGGCGCACGACCGTGTGGCCCCTCACTTCCAGCTGAAACCGTTCGGATACATGCCGTATATTAAATAATAACCAAAAAAGTAGTTTCGGAGTAAATCATTTCGAATTTTAAATTCTTTTTGATAATTAATTTGTAATTGTATTTGAAATAATATTCGACGAAAGTATTTATTGTTTGTATTTAAATACAACTTTTTCTTTATTTTATTGGGTTTTGCAAATATTTTTTGAAATACTTCTGTTCCGAATATTATTAAAAAAAATCGGTTGCTTCGATAGTATCCAATATTTCAAAATAATTTCAATTTTGTGGAATTACTTTTAATGATTATAGTTGACGAGAAATGCAAAGTTATTGATAAATAGAATTTTAAAACTGTTTATTAGAAATTAACAAAAATTAATAAACACAAAGATAACAAATTATTAATGATGATAAACTGATGAGGTGAATTATTAATGTTTTAAAAGAATTAGGAATTCAGAAATGATGCTTGTGGTTTGTTTTAAGGCTCAGAAATTCAAATAAATATTAGTACTACAGTAGAATCCGCATAGAATAGAGAGAAAAACTACAAATTTTATATATTTATTAACAGACAAAGAAAAAGAACGATGAATTGTAATATCAATATACATAAGAAGGGTCAGATAAATGAGCGAAAATGTTATTATTAATCATTTAGGTCTAGTTCAGGCAAGCTTTAATTAAATATAGCATACATAATTTTGAAGTTCTTATTACTATTCTTTGGTTACCTGTTCATTAATAGCACAATTTAGTAAAAGAATGAGAGAGACTTCATAACTCATTTCAAATACCTATAACTTTGGATTCATCTGTTTCAAATTAATGTACAAAATGTCACAGAAAGCGAATCCTTCATGAAATTCTATGATACATATTCCTATTTTCGCATCTCTGTATCGTATCAATTAATTAAAATTTGTGAATCGACCCTACGAGAAAACGTTCTGATTTATTATTTAAATTATTAGTTTTTAGCCAATTCATTAGAACTGGAAAATGAAAATCCCACAATCAGTGTATGGTTGCTAACGCGTTTTAAGCAATTTTCATTATGGTATGTAATTATCAATCAATAAATTTTATAGTGACAATATTTTATATGAATAATATTGATCAAATAATAATCACGACAAAGTAATACGAATAAGTAAATGTAATTTTATTAGACAATTCAAACTACTGATAATAATAAGAAAAATAAACATTTTGAATTTATGCGGTAAACGTGCTTTCTGGCTATGATGCCTATGGGCATAGGATTTCGCTATACATCCACTTAGGACAGCGTTTTTAAGCCTAAATTTTTAGTTCATGAAAATTCGCTTAAATTTCGATTGAAGCGTTTGGAACGATTAAAAAACTACAATTGGAATTTGGACCATTCAAGTTTGTTAAAAAGTAAAAATAATATCTTACCTTCCGGTAATCCACCAACGAATCGTCCTCTTTCTTCGGCGTTGATACCATTTCCAGTTTCGTAACTGTATTGATAGTTGCCGCTTCCGTCATTATCATTGGTGTATCGCAAGATGGGAATTTGAGGTCCGCTCCTAAAATCAGCTCCTGGGCCAAAGCCACCACCGAAACCACCACCAAACGGCCCAGCCCCAGCACCTGTTCCTGCTCCTGCAAAACTTCTCGCACCGCCAGCGGCTGGAGGAAGGTNTAAGTGGAGATATAGAAATCCGTATCATTTCCTTACTTATAAAAATATAAATTAGAACCATTCGTCAAATAGGTACAACATTTTGGAGGTCGTAATAAATTTTGAAGTACCCTGAAGATAAAAATTCATGAACAATTTGTCTTTATAATTTTTATTGCTGCATATGTTGCTCAATTGCTGTGTCTATGACTTCCTTTACCTAATTTTAATTAAAGGTCAAGCATCAAATGGACTGTAACTAAAAAACTGTCATATTAAACAACTTTAACGACAGGTACCTATTAGAAATCTAATAATGAATCTTCTAACATTTTAATCCTTATTCCATATATTTTTTGTTTTACTTTCCTGACTGTTTTTCATTATCCTTCTCTTAATTCTTCTCCAACGTCGACGAGTCATAGCTATCATTTTACTGAAATAGAGTATTTCTTAAGACTGATTGGTTAGGTTAGGTTAGGTTAGGTTAGGTTAGGTTAGGTTAGGTTAGAGTATGTCCTAAGACTGGTTGGACACGCACCTCAACTATTTCCTACCATGATGTAATTTTCGCATTTCCCTAAAACTAGAACAACCCATATTCTTAACTATTTGCGAACAGTAATCTAATCTAGGTCTACTCCTAACCCTCCTAACTCCTGTTTCTGCCTCTAATTTGTCTCTGAGTAGACCTTCATGCCTGAGAAGGTGTCCTACTAATCTATTTCGCCTATTTCTTATTGACTTCCATAGAGGCCTCTGCTCTCCTATTTTTTTTAATACCTCTTCATTTCTGACCCTCCGTATCCTCACCATTCGGCTGTAATATGAACGCTTCTAATCTTTTCTTTTCCGCCGCGCCCACTGTCCATGTTTCGCACCCGTACAGCGCTACGCTCCAAACATAAACCTTTAACAACTTTTTTCGAATTTCTAAACCAACCGTTCGGGGCATAGAAGTGACTTCTTTTTATTGAAGGTGACTCGACTCTGCGCTATCCTCTGCTTTATATTCCTACCACTCATTCCGTCCTGACTTATCTGACTTCCTAGATACCTAAAATCGGCCACGTTTTCTAATTTTTCGTCTCCTATTTTTATACTCGCTCTTTCCCTATTTTTTCTTTCCTTGCATTCCAGTATTTTTGTTTTACTTTTATTTATTTTTATGCAGTATTGTTTTGTTAGCACCGCTTCTATTTTATTTAAAGCTATCTCTAACGCCTCCTTGTTAGATGCTAATACTGCTATATCATCTGCAAATCAAAGCATACTAATCTTTTGCCCCTGTATATCTATCCCTACAGTTATACTCTCTTTAATGGTGTTGATCACGTTTTTGAAGTATAGATTAAAAGTTTTATTAAAAGAGAAATAAGAGAACTACAGTTTTTTAAAGAGTTAAGTGCTGTATCTATGTCTGACCTATAATTTCATTCAATGTCTTTTAGAATCTATTAAAAATATAACAACAGTAAGTGTCATTGGTGAACGACAGTTTTTTCAGAATACACCTCATTAAAATTTATTGAACTCATACGATTTGCTGTACAGACATACTGAAAGGTAATAGACAGGTGTTTAATGTTTTAGTTAATCAATCGTATTATATAACCAATCAAATAGAATGAAATGTATTAGGAATTCAACATGTATCATGTTAACAAGATGAACACCGATTGTTGAAAAGGTGAAGATGAATTTATGAACGTAAAATCATAATTAAGTTGTCTTCTTTGTGACATATACAAAAAATATAAAACGAATTAACAACCTAGTTTTGTCTATAATTTTCTGAATTAATTGGGGGACATCAGCACAATTTCTACGCTACTCTACGAGGTTTGAGTTATTACTATCAAGTCGTAAGTGTATTGCATTAAATAGCGGGTTCGTAAGCAATACAACTTAGGATAACTTAGGTACATACGTTATTGGCAGACTATGTTAGAGTCCCGGGGCGGTAAAACATATTGGGGCCCCCGGTTTGCTCAGAAAGTGACGTATTTATAAATTCCAAACTACTTACTGAAAGGAATTCGAGCCTGGTTCGGGATTTCATTAATAAAAAAGGATTTCCCGAAATTTGGAGACTCTGCACGATCTGAAGCCAGTCGCGGGCCGTCCCTACCACCCCCGCTGCTAGTTCGTCACTGATGTACATATACAGGGTGACCCAAAAATTAAAGTCTATTCTGCAATTCTACCAGTCTTAGTTTTTAAATTCTTAATAGTTTGTGATTTATACAAAAAGAAAAATATTCTGCTATTCAGATTTAACAGAATATTTCTAAAAACCGATAAGTCCCGAAATAGTTTCTTTTTGACAAAAAAAAATAGAGATAATAATTTGCTGTATTACGTAGTTTTACCTTCCATTCGCATATTATAAGAGAATCCTAATCAAATAAAGTTGCTTATAATTTTACATTGTTTATAAACGAGCGCTTATATAGTTCAGAGTATAAACAAGAAGATTTTTGTTTCATCTAATACCGGCCGTGAAAGTTTACGAGAAATAGACTTCTGTTCAAACCTTTTCGGTGCAGAACTTTAAAAAACAAGCTTTATCTTCTCTAAAGTTTAACTGAAAGCTTACGAGAAAATAGACTGTTGTTCAGACCCTTTGGGTGCGGAACTTAAAAAATCAAATAAAATAATTCGAAGTGGTCTGTATTCTGTCGAAACTACCAGACGCGGATCGCGATTTCGATCTTTTTTGATCTCATCAGCGCGTCGCAGGCAGGTCCGACAGAACACAGACCAACTTTTACCTGCTGCCTTAGAAGCGCGTTTTAAAAAATACGCCAAATGGCGCAGTAAACGCCATCTATAGTACAGTGCTACATTTTAGGATTACGTATGCTTCAGAAAGGTCCATTTAAATATATGGATTAGGGTTTATACAAAAACCGACATTTTAGCAAACCGGTTTTCGAATTTCATAATTTTGTCAAAAAAACCGGTTTTTAAAAACCGACAAACCCTAATATGGATATCTACTTGCTGAAATGAATACGCCGGTACCTAACCTCAATGTGATAGGCACGTTACCATAATCGAATAAAATAATTCAGACTCTTTGGGTGCGGAACTTAAAAAAACCAAGTTTCATTTTTCCTAAGTTTATAAGGTTTATAGAGTTCTTTTCGGACCCTGCAAGCGCGGAACTCGAAAAAAGTTTGGACTTCTTTAAGTTTAACTGAAAACTTAGGAAAAATAGACTGCTTTTCCGACTTTAGGTGTGGAATTAATAAAACCAAGTTTGGTCTTTTCTAAGTTTAATTGAAAGCTTATGAGAAGTAGTTTCTTTCGGACCCTGCAACTGCGGAACTTCAAAAACCAATTTTGGACTTCTTTAAGTTTATTTGAATCNTTATAAAAAAAAAATTATTTAAGTGTTATTCATACATTGAAAACCGATATTTTCCACTAAAAACCGGTTTTCGAATTTCATAATTTTGTCAAAAAAACCGGTTTTTAAAAACCGACAAACCCTAATATGGATATCTACTTGCTGAAATGAATACGCCGGTACCTAACCTCAATGTGATAGGCACGTTACCATAATCGAATAAAATAATTCAGACTCTTTGGGTGCGGAACTTAAAAAAACCAAGTTTCATTTTTCCTAAGTTTATAAGGTTTATAGAGTTCTTTTCGGACCCTGCAAGCGCGGAACTCGAAAAAAGTTTGGACTTCTTTAAGTTTAACTGAAAACTTAGGAAAAATAGACTGCTTTTCCGACTTTAGGTGTGGAATTAATAAAACCAAGTTTGGTCTTTTCTAAGTTTAATTGAAAGCTTATGAGAAGTAGTTTCTTTCGGACCCTGCAACTGCGGAACTTCAAAAACCAATTTTGGACTTCTTTAAGTTTATTTGAATCATTTCTAAATGCACAATATTTCTTATCACAAATGAATTAATATATGTAATTCATATGGGAAATAGATATTTTATCTGTAGTTAAAGATTGTGATATCCTGATAGATTCACACATTGGCATTCCGCAAGCAAAATAAGAATGCACCTTACATGATACATGATAGAAATAGGAACAAATTGTTCTATATAGCAGAACAAAACCTTGTGCGCTTCATTTCGAAAAATCATCAGTCATGACGTAAGCAGATATTAAAGATCTTTTTTATGAATACCGATACGCAAATAGGTAATAGCGTGACAAATTGTTTATCGCTATTTTAATTCACGACGGCAACATATTCGAATTCGTTCCCTTTACTACCTTGAAATATTGTTTTTTAAAAGTGAATCGGCTTTAGGTTAAAGTGGTCGGCGTGAGTATTCGCCATAGTTTTACGTGTTTGACATTTCTCTTAGCACGTTCAAATGTATTAGACAATTAGACGGATACAGATCACTAGTTTTTGATCTTTCCGTCTGTGTACAACAAATGATACCTACTCGTTTCATTTTATCATTTTAGAATGGTAAAGTTTAAAGATGGCGGTTATGTATAGTAGTAGCTTGTTCATTACTATATCTAGGTACCTATATGGTATAATGATGTTCATTATATGTTTACACATTTGCTGTATATGTATTATGTTATTATGGTTAATAAATGAAATACGTATGTATGTATGCATGTGTGTCAAGAGCGTGGTTGCGATTTTTGTAAACATTGTTACACGGTGCATTGTGATGTTACACCATAGATCCAAGGTGTCATGTAACGTATTACACTTACATGATTTCTCTTTAAGATCCTAGTTAAAAAAACAGAACTGCATTAAGGGTTGCAAAAGTTTAATTTTTAGGAAAACTCAATTAACGTTTCACCTCTTCATACGGGGCTTTTTCATGGTTCGTCTATTATGTTACCTACTTATTTTTAATGATTTACCAGCAGTGTTTACGCCCTGTAAACGTATATTTCATGTCTCAACACCCTGTAGACATCTTTATGTCCTAGGTTACTTTAAACCCATTTATTGTCACTTGCTAAAGTTATACACCGAACGTCATGACCATAAATGTAACAGCGGGAAGTC